AATCACCACAGGAGGGCTTTCCTGTTGAACTGATGGGGGGAAAAAACACCAGGGGATTAAAAAAAAAAAAAAAAAAAAAAAAAAAGAAAAGAAAAGTTTGACCTTATCACAGATCTTATCTCAGTTATTGTATGCACTGTTTGGATCCTCCTTCTTGTCTATGAATGAAGATCAGCTAAAAGCTAAACTGTGTCTGTGGGTCTATAGTAGTAATAATGCTGCCTGGAGGTGACAGCTCAGAGCTACGTCATCTGTGCAAGCGTGGTAATGAATGCTAATTTACCAGTGTCTTTACTGGCATCCTTACATATGGTGTTACACAAAACCAGAAGCAGAGCGTCCTTCAAACGCACGAGCACTTATTTCAATAATCCCTCGGATTCATCTGAAGCTTAAGAAATGAATCTGAGAATTTCTCTAGAAAATAAGAAAATTAAAGGGACATTGGTGCATCAATGATTTATGATCCGTAATGGCACAACACTCCACAACCTAACAACGGACAACGTTATTACAACAGTGAAACAGGAATGCTTTTACCATCAACATTTCAGTGATAACTTATACCTTAACTACTATTCTGGGTTCATAGACAACTCTATGACAAGACAGAAGTTCACAGTCTCATTGGAAAAAGGGACAATTGCTGAAAACTTTGAGAAAACATATATATTTTTTATTCAATAAGCTTGACAAAATCTGGCTTGTAAAAAACTTTTGCCTGTACAAAAGTAATGTAAAAAAGTAATGCCTGTAAGTAATTTAGATCAACAGCCTTTTTTAACACCCCAGGCTGCTGACCAGGTTTTGGGACAACCTTTGAAACAATGGGGGCTGCTTTCCCAGTGATCATGTTTGCTGAATGCCAACATTCAGATCGTCATATTTACTTAATTTCATTCCAGGTGTTTGCCATTCATGGAAAGTTTATCATCCACACATTCAGAATCTGTAAATAACTAAAAACATCCCCAGGGATACTGGATTTGTTGTAGCCAGTCACATATTTGGTTTATTTGACACCAAAAGCCAAAGGTTGAGCTTTCACCTCAATTTTCACCAATGTTTTTTTAACTAAAATTCAAAACCTCCTCTTCCAGTAACATTCACTGTACATAATTGATCTTATTGGATTTTCTTGGTGTTCAAGTTGCAAACATCAGAGCAGCTATTCGGAGATGCCTCACTAAGGTCACTATATTTTCCGGTTATGGAAATTTAACGGAAAATTTCTCCTTCCAGGTTTGACCTGTGCGAGAATGTCAGATGTCGAGGCTCTTCAACCGCCTTCAGATAGATCAGGACTGGCTGCAAACTCTATAGCTTCTCTTTGGTTCCAAGTACTGGACTGAATGGCTTCTCTACCTTCACTTACATCTGAACTACTCTCTGAACTGCAGGGGTTGTTATTTTAAATAAATTCCCAGCGCAACTCAACAGCCAAACGGAGCGGAGTTTGCAAAGTGGAAGTTCAGGCAGATTATGAGGGAGCGCAGCAGTGCCAATGTAGGGTGTATAAGCTGTCAAAGCACTGCCCACTCCCTCGATTTGCTAAGGGACTGAATTTTAATGGGAGCACCGGGGTGAGAAAAGAGGAACAGTTTGTATTTTCCTTTTGCTAAAAGGAAATCAGGTTTTGTAGTTATATTTTCCAAATCCTTTTCTGTCAAATTTCTCTGTAAGCGAGAATATTTTAAAAGAATGAAAGAGGACCAAACTGTAGAGTGTCAAGCACTGCTTTCACTCAGACACCAACATTTAACAGTCGTGTTTGTAGAATAAACAGAATTGAACAAAATACAAACCAAATATGAAAATGTTGCATCCGTCGTCGAATATTATCTACAAGCTCCAGGTAGGAAAATGAAAAATGCACGAGGACAAGGCAGATGGTAAAGTCTGGAAGCCCGGAGTGTGCATCGTTTTATTTTTGCTTCAGAAAAATAACGAAGCATTTTAGCTACCTTTAAACTGCAACTAATTTTAGTTAATTACACAAAAGACCTTAAAAATAATAGACACCTTTCTCAGTTCAAAATGTGTGGCATACTAGTCACATGTATGAATAAACCCCAACCCAGCAGATGGCAGTAACGCAATTAAAGTTTGTTTGCCAGGTGAGAAGAAGATACATCAAACGATGATGAGTTTTAATGAACAGTAAGAATAGATGAGACAGCATGTCATCACAAGGCTTCTCATCGTCAGCTGATTATACTAACTGCTCTCAATAACAACCATTCTTAAGAGTGTTGGACTGAGAAGTGGATGCCCAGTTCCACCAGGTGTTTTCTAATTGCTGCTGCCGCTAGTCTGATGGAGCAGACCGGGGAAGGCGTGGAGGGGAGGGGCTTTGTGGAAATAGGTGGATTTCAGCTATTTGTTGGGGTAAGGAGACGACAACACAACCCGGATATGAGGTCATTTCAACTGTTAGTCATGCTTCTTCTCTGAAATGAAATGACAAATACTGAATGATTTCTTTCAGCTAAAAAATGCTTTTGTGTTTCGTTCTACATCTCCCTCAATTAGCACATGCCATTACAGCATTTCATAACTGCTTTGGCAACCATCAACCTAAAGGGATTTTATGGATTCAACTATGAGAAAATGTGATTAAATATCCAACACAGCAGGAGGTCGCTAAGACCTGCTTTAGTTCTGTCAGGCATATAACTATTAGAATGTATTTCATAAGGTCAGCTGGGAGCAGGAGATGAAACAAAGTTTTCAGAAAATAATATATTATGTAACTATGGGTGATAAAAGCCCAGTTTTGTAACTAACCTCATATGTATTGAAAACACACTGGAAAAACCTTCTGTTGTTTCAGCAAATCAGATTTGAACTCATGGGTGCGTCTGTCTTTGTCTTGTCATAGGTAACCGTTTAACTAAAATGGAAAATATTAGTTATTTGTATATAAGGCCACGTTGGGTGGGATGCATTTTAGTTTCTTAATAAATAAAATCATAATTTGAAAACTGTATTTTTTATGTACTTGTCTGACACAAAAAGATGTAGCAGAAAAAAGAGGATATATCTGAAAGTGGTTTAGTGGTTTCTACTTTTAAAAAGAAAAATGACAAAATTCATCAGGTTTAGAAATGACACATTTTTACTTTTTTCCCACCACCCGTGAATAAACTTTTGTACATCACTGCACATCATTTTAATATTGTTTTAATGTTTCAATATTCCTAGAAATGTTTTAATAGCGGTTTTAATACTTGAGTTGAAGACCCACATAACAGAAACAAGGAAATCCGAGCATAAAGCCAGTATCTGTAACCCTCCTCCAATATTAAAAGCTGCCCACTCCGACCTTTACGCTGAACAGACCAGCCAAGAGAAAAACAAACAGCTGGAACAAGGCTTTATGTTTCTGACACTGAGGTCATCCGGTTCTTACCCAGAAGTGTAATGATGCAGCCCAGAATAGCCAGAAGGGCGCCGGTGCTCAGGCCAGTTGCCGTGTAGGCCACGGCTCCACAAGACAGGGCCACGCCGTCCGAGTCACAGTCACACACGCGCACCGAAAGCGTGTTGGTGCTGCTGAGGGCGGGCTTTCCGTTGTCTGTAATCAACACGGGCAGTCGATACACGGCCTGCTCCCGTCTCCTGAAGCCGCCTCGTTTCGTCAGTATGGAGGCAGTGTTGTCTGCAAAAGGGAGAGAAAAAACACAAGTTTAATGGTGCATCCATCCAATGTAGATATTAACAGCAGGTAGCGTAACACCTTCTTTGCTTTGTTCATGCATTTTGAAATGACTTCACCAGTAGGGCTAACAGATGGCATCATTAACACAGTTTATTATATGACACACAGTGGTGCCTTTCTGTGGTCTTGACCACCTGTTGGCTAATAGCAGCTTTGGTTTCATAGTAAAATTTTATGTCAAATCTCAGTATGAAAGCCAGAGTCAGGAAAACAAAGGGCCATTATATAGCAGCTAAAGCTTTTCATGACGGCTGTATCAATAGAATGAAATCCACTCTCAAACTGAGCCGCCATGATTGAAATGTAGATTTCATCGTTTGCTTTCAGATGTCTGAGAAAAAAAAAGGGAAATTTATTACAAAGAGGGGCTCTATTGTAAAGAAAACATGATCACCTAGGAATAAAAAGAACAGCTGATTTACATAAGAGACGTTAAGAAAAGTCCCTTAAAATATGAAGTGGATATATTCCCTTGAGTAAAAACAAAATGCACTAATCAGTCAAAAAGATTAAATTAGATGGATGGTTTAGTAAAAATTCCCTCAAAGCTGCAGCAGGCAGTGTTTATAAAAATGTGTTCTTTACATCCTTGTTAAAATTGTCATTATGGACGTGATGGTAGAGGGTGAGACAGATAATGTATGAATATCCGAGCTCCTCTGCCTCCTCCCTGTGGCCCTACTGCCACCTGCAGAAATACACTGCTCCCAGTCAGAAACCACCAATCAAACCAATGCTGCCTATGTGATTACTTGTTAAGACTTCAGATGCATTCCCACTTTAAGCCACGTACGCATCAGTAAGATCAGAGTTCAGGAAACATGTGAGGGTTTGGAGTTAAAGATGTAGTGTGTTCCTAACAGCTCAACTCACACCTTTAAAATGGTCTTAATTCACCCTTTGCATCAAAAACAGGTTAAACTCTTCTGTGAAAGCTTTCCACCATCAGGTTGAGGTGGCAACTTCAACCTGTCCTCACAGTCAGGAGAATGAAATTATCCGTTTCTGTTTTGCACTCTACAGTATTTGTAGTTCATTTCACTGAAACTCAGACAAAGAGCACAACCCGTTTAAAACCAACAAAACACTATTATCATCCTTCTACTAAACTTTCCACTTGGCAATACAGATAGAAAAGTTCTGGTGTCATGGTGATTGCCAAACCCAGATTCATCCCTTTGACCAGTCAGAAATGCCTGATTACTCACACATCTCCGCTGCTCCACTCCAACTTTACGTAAGTGTAAAGATGATGAAGAAAAGCCTCTCGACAGCCGCCGGATGATGCTGCCACCACCATGTTTCATAGGGGAGGTGGCATGCTGAGGCAGTTATCTTCTTAAATGCAGGCCAAAAAGTTTATTTCTTAGTATCTTTTTTAACGGCTTTGTTGCTTTATCTACATGGCATGGTGCAAACTAAAAACAGGACATTTTGGCTTCCTATTAACAGTCTAGTTCTTCCTGTCACTCTTGTAAAAAGGCTAGCTGTTTTGAGTTCCCTCTTTTCATTTAGTTCCACTTTCACCTACATACTGGGTCAGTTGGAACACTCTGAAAGATTTTAATATCCTAAAAAAAATACTTCAAATTTAAATGCATGAAACCAATATTTCCTGAAATTATATATGATATGCATCTACTATGTAGGTATAAAAATTCACATACAAAAATAGTCAGTAAAGGCTCTGCTGGACTGAATGCTACTCCCTCAAAAACTGATTTGCCTCCGTACTGGTATGAAACAGGTCTTCCAATGCAGACTAGATAATCCCTAGTCTGCTACCTGAATTACCTTGAACATACACTTCAGTGTCTAACGTGTTCACACTCATGTGGATTACTCTGGCACAGCATGACGGCTGCTGCGCCTTGAGAAAAGGTATGGAGACAGCCTCAACTCATCTCCCACACAGGTGAGCGCACCACTCAACGCAGGGCATCGCCTCAGAGACTCTATCAGCCCTGAGCATGTTTCTTTTTCTTTTCAAAGCAGCAGGGATTTGTGAAAGCACATAATCATAGAGTCAAGTACAACTCTCTCGAGTCTATACGTCTAACATAGAAATTAGAATGAAGTTTTCCACCCACTTTTATGTGTGGGAGGGTAGCAGATTATGATGCTATAAAGGCAGCTGCATCTTGTGTGTAAAGGTCAAAGGTACATCGCTTGGTGGAAGAAGAATGCTGTCACAGACTACGTGGTGTTGCAAATAGAGGTATGCACCATATGGTTTTGTTGATTTTGCTTCATGTCTTAAGCAGAAAGGTGGCGTAGGTGGTGTACGCTGTGCAGAGTCCCAGTGAGGGATGGGAAGAGTCAATTGCATTGGCTGGTTGAATTAAAAAGATGCAAGTAACAACGCAAACCCCTCTTGACATACTTTCATGTGGAAAATACTCAGAATGCACCATATGGCAGTCATTGCGTTTTTCTGAAATGTTGGGACAGACCTATGTTTAATTTATCTTTACAATAAGGATACATATTCATAATAAGATCGTAATAAAACATATTAAGAGATGCTTTACAATGTTGTGTAGCTGAGACATTTAGCTTGAAGTGCTTTTGTTTCTGGTAAAGCAACTCAGCTTCACTTGTTCCTCTATTGTTCCTTACATCTTCCTTTTTATTGTGTTTCTGAATTGCAAATGGCACTGAAATGTGATGAATGCGCACAACACTTGTAAACAACTGTATGAAACAGAAATAGAGCCGTTTGTCTTAGAAAAAAAATATATTTCCAAAAACAGATCATCTAAATGGCTCATTCAAAATTCAGTTCCTTTCAAAGAGCCGTATGTGCCATCACTAATAAAAACATGTATCTGTGTAGTTAGTTGACAGTAGAACAACTAATAAAGTGACAGAAGTTAGAGCTAAACAAAAATAGGAAAAAAATATAATAAAAGATTCATCAATTCACTAAAGGTAAGCAAAGCTGTTTAAACTAGAAATGACTAAATAAAGCCCTTAACCAAACATTGTTCTGTTTTCTAATCCAAATAAAGAATTTCTACCGACTACAATGATTTTTTTGTGTGTGTGTCCTTTTAGCATCAAACACTCACAGGTTCTCTGTATGTGTGCGTTCGGCACTCCTCTATAAATTCACAATAAAGAGTAACCCACTATCTTTGAACAGCATCAAAGAGTGGCACAAAAAGGCAGTTGCACCTTTGTTATCTCGCAGGGTGAAATTCAGGTTGCCGGCGACGGTTGCATCCAGGGCGAAATTAAAGCGATGTCCGTCCAGAGGTTCATCCTTGTCCACCGCACTGATGGTCTGAATCACCTGAGGAAGAGAGGAACAAGAAAAAAAAAAACACAGACGTTTCAGATCAGTTAGCTGGGTGATCTTTATCCTATCTCACAGTCCAATTTGCTGTGAACTGAAGCTGTAAACTGCTTAATGGGTTCATGGAATCAGAGGATGCTCAAACCCTTCCTCAGTGCATCACTTAGGAGTGCATTACGGCATCATGTATTTGACCAAAGAATTTCCTCTTGTGTTAGACAGATATAACCTGGGTAAATATGAAAAGCAGTTTCCAAATGAGGGTTTGGCCCCCTCTGAAAACACAACCCCGCCACTTACACATAAAAAAAAAAAAAAAAAAACTCCAGCAAAGTGGGCGAAGCAAAGGGGGCGTGGCCAAGTGCAGGGATGGCTGCTGTCAGGACGACAGGAGCTAACTCATAAACTCTGTCGCCACTTCCTACACCCCGTTGCTACTTTTTTTTAATCTAAAATCCAACTGCTGACAAATCTGTCAACTTTCTTTTCTGTCATGTTGGAGATTTTTACAGCGCTCTACAGCGCTGCTGCAACCCGGCTCTGTCCTGAGCTCATTCTACTTCCAAACCACTGCAGACAGTCTGACACAGTCACCAGCCTGCAGAATACCCGTCGCCAGCGCATCGCACATTTGTAAAGCTGGGTAATGCTGCTGATCAATATTTGTTGTGGCCACACTCGCTATTCCAACTCCTGACTCGCCACCGGGTGGGGCTGTGTGTCTGAGCTCAGAGAATAAACTTTAAAATACTTCAGTTGGTGTACAAAACAGTGAATGGCTTCGTACCAAAATACATAAGAAATCGGATGTCATATCCGTCTTTCTGACCACTCAGACGTTCTGGTTCTGGTCTATTCTGAATCTCCAGAACCAGAGCCAAACATGGGGAAGCAGCAGGCAGTAATTATACTCATCTAATCTGGGACAAACTTCTAGAAAAATGGATAAAGTCTGAAACACTGAGTTTCTTTACATATAGGCTAAACACACACCTGTTTAGAGTGGCCTTTGATTGATAATAACTGGAACATTAATCAATATATTTGATCTATGTTTGCTTGACAATTTTGATTATGGCATTTGAAAAAAAAATGCAATTTTTATTAGTTGTTTCATAATTGGTTATTGTATTATATTGGTGGTGTGAAACGTGGTAAACTTCACTTGACTTCAACATGTGACATGAAGCCAAGTGAAGTTTATTTTAAACTATAAGAGAATTCAGCTACTTAGAAACCATTCGACCTAAAGAGGATAGAAATGTGACAGTTTTAAGCACACTATTGGAGAATTAAGCAAATTTACATGGAAATGTCAAAACTTGCAAAGAAAACAAAATATACTACCCTAAATAACAAATTTAGCCAAATCCCTGATGATGGCTGTTCCTATCAACAGTAGCACAGACAATCATCAGGTTTATGGAGAGTTATTAGTTCAAATTAGGGAAAAAAAAAAAAGTTGATTTTGATATATACTGCTCAAAAAAAATAAAGGGAACATTTCACTTTAATTTTGTGTGTGGCTCCAAATCCAGGCCTCCATTGGTTAATAAATTTGATTTCCATTGATGATTTTTGTGTGATTTTGTTGTCAGCACATTCAACTTTGTACAGAACAAAGTATTCAATGAGAATATTTCATTCATTCAGATCTAGGATGTGTTATTTGAGTGTTCCCTTTATTTTTTTGAGCAGTGTATTTTATTCCTTTAATAAATCATACTATCATGCAAAAACTGCTTTTAATATTTCCTCAGATTATCTTTGATAATAAAATATAATTATCTAAAACATTTACATGTGGAAAAAAAACAAAAAAACATTTTTTTTTTTTCAAAGTACTGTACATCTGGTCTTTTCCGCTATGACAAATTTAAACACATCAAGTGACAAATCCTGTTTGAAGGGCCGAGCGACCGAGTGAGTGGATTAGAGAAAACCAACCTAATTCCTATTGATGTAGAAGGTTTGTTTTATAACTATTGGCATGGGCTCTGTGTCATTTGTTCCCTGTAGTACAGTAAGTGCTTATTTGGCAAGAGTTTAGCAACCTCTCAGGGGTAAAAATGTTTTCTTTTAGGAAGTCATTTCTCCAAAGCAAATCATTTCAAAGAGATTATTTTCTCTGTCCCAACTGTTGGCCTTTAGCACATTTCAAGTTTTTACAGTAAACATTGCACCATAGGTGATTTAAAAGGATGACATACAAGCATCTCTATCCTATGTGAAAGGAAAAACTGGCTGTCGAGATTAAAATGTTTTCATCAATAGGCTATAAAACAGTTTATTACTGCTGTAAAAGTTGAGTATTTTATCGTGGCGCTTCGCGAGGAGTCACTTATCTTTGGAGGCAGCTGAAAGTGACAAGGAGCTGCAATGTTTGCCTGGCAAACATGGACACTTCGAAGCAACGTTGAAGATGGTGCACGGTGTGACATGTAAATGAGATGCTGTAGAAACTTAGGAATGCTTGGGGGATTTTCTCTCCTTGAACCGAGTGCCAGAAGAGCCACCAAACAGGGCCAAGTTCGATTAACTACTTCACATCTCAAAACACGATTCAGTACGAAGACAATCATCAGCTTTTCCAGGAATCTAATATGAGATGGTATGGCTTAATTTCATTCCAGGATACAAATGTATTCATTTCCTTGTTTGACTTGGCAAACTGTGAAGCACTTGGTTCCAAATCAGTCTGAATCTTTGGAAATTACCTATACATTATAATTTTGTCCAGAGGTACTTCTATTCTGTACCCCTGAGAAAAGACTATAAAACATCAATATGTGTCGTTAATTTTTCACTACTGTTTTCCTACATAATGGAGAGAAAAAGCCCAGAAAACTTTATATTGGATTTCACTCAGAATTTGGTTCTCATTTCTGTTTTGACCAAATGTTTCTTATAAAAAAAACCCTAAAAAAAACAACAGATTAGGACTCTTGATTAAAACAAAATAATTTTAAACAACCTGTTCCTTGGAGTCACAAAACGATCTTGTCTGACACAGTAGACAACAAAAACATGTAGATAAGCACATTTACAATTGTAAAATTAAAACTAAAATCCATTTAATCCAGGCATATAGACAGATTTAAAGTTATTTACATGCATTCCAATCTAATAATAACACAAATCTGTATCCCTCTGATGTAAAGCGTACTGAATGCTGAAGAAGGGAACACGGCAAGGACCAAACTACAACTGACGTGTCTTTACCCATTTTGATTTCTTGCCTTTCATAACAGTTGATTGACTTTTTAAATATCTTTAATCAAAACTGATTCCCAAGGCTTCTTTTTGTTTTTTTGTTTTTTTGGGCAAATCCATTTAGTCGATCTTACAACAAAGCCTCGTCTGTGTTTGCAATTAGCAAGAGAAATAAACTCCAGCTCTCACAGGGAAAGTTGACAACACACACAATCCTCTTATTCTAATATCCTGAGCAGCATCGGATCTGCTGGCCTTGAGCGCCGCATGAAAAATAAATACAATGTCAGCTCAGTCCGTTGCGTGTCGTGACACTAATGCTGTCCAAAATAAATTTGTACGCTGTGCAGCCAGGCATGTTTACTTCATTATTTGGAATGAAAATGACTCACGATAAGAACTGCTTTCGCTCGAGGCGTTGCAAGACAAGAATTCATATCTGTGAGTGAAACAAGTAGACGCCGTTTGTTTTGGCCCTTTTTGTTCCGCTTCTGAACCTCGGACTAAGAGAAAGCCTTTCCTGCCTTTATTATGCAACAGAGCTGACAATTATAAAGATCGGAGGAAGTATTGCTAAATAATCCAATTTATCCACACCCAGCAGCATGTGCCATAATTATTATTTTATTCATACAAACAGACTCTCTAGAAATCGAGTTATCGCTTAAAAAATTGAGCAGCCAGTTGAAGGAAAACAGGGAGAAAAAGAGCTGAATGAGTAGATCCTGTACATGAGAGGAACATCACACACCAACATGCCATATGGACGATTAATGATAGCCACTGGGACGGTCATCAAAGTTGGAGTTACTGTGGCAATGTTCACATAAATTTACATCAAGCCTCCTGAGTCTTTTGTAGCAGATCTAGGAACTCAACCCAGTGACAGCTAACACCCATGGATGTGATCCAAGAGATTTTTAGAAGCAATTCACACATGATTATCACATCTTCCAGCCCCAAACAGCTTTTTTTGTCTAACACGAGGACAAAAATAAGGAGCGGGGGACTAGAAGGGCGAGGAGGAAGAGAAAAATGAAAGTCAATGATCCATCAGGGCAGAGACATGGATTATCAGTTGTCAGCTGTGATTAAATGCTGCTGGTTACAAGCTGTCAGGTATTAAGTATTCGTGTAGGTGGCAAACAAAATCATGCCAATTATTAAAACTGGCAGCGAGGGAGGGAAAAAAAAAAAGTTAAAACACACCGCCTTGCAAAAGTATTTGTACCCCTTAAAGCACAAACTTCAAATGTTTCTTATTAGGACTTAATATGACAGACCAATGTAAAGTAGTACAAAGATTTGAACTGTAAAGCCGCACAGTTTTGCGTTTTGTTTTTAAGCAAATACAAATCTGAAAAGTGTGGCCAGCATTTGTATTTAGTTCCCCTGGCTTGAAATTTTCTGTCTACATCTGGCTGACAATTTAGGGTTATTCACCCGTTGAAAGGTGAAAGTTCAACCACCTGATGTCTGTTGCAGCTTCTAACATGTTCCATTGGTCCATCCATCCTTTCATCCATCCATCCGTTCATCCATCCATCCGTTCATCCATCCATCATCAGTTTAATTTTGGATAGAGTTGAGGAGGCAGCAGAGAAGTTCAGACTTACTTTTACTAGCTGAAGAGACCATGTTTCATTGGGGGGAGTGGGTTGTGTGTTCAAGTTGATGAACTTGAAAAAAATGCTCATGTACTCTTCTCTTGCAACTTCAGAATGTAACGATTTTCCACTGTTCACTTCTGCGCCCTCCTTCACATGGCCCTGAACGTTGCTGTT